TGTCTGGAAATTAAACAAACAAGGGCGGTCTCTGACTTTTTCACATGATTGTACCTTCTCAGTAAATTAGCAATTTTCCTAACACTTTGCATGGCTTGTTATAGTTTGCTTAAGTTCATTTTTATTTTTATTTGTTGGCCTAACCTCTAGCCTGGTTTGTCAAAATAATCAATAATCAATACAGCCTCATTTAAAGGCAAGCAGAGGATTGACAGAGAAAACAGAAATACAGTAAAAGTCAGGCAAAGAGAGAGAGAGGGAGAGAGAGAGAGAGAGAGAAAGGGGGGGAGACAGAGAAGGGAGAGAGAGATTCTGCTGTTAGACTAGTACTGCTACTGCAGTACTGAGACTGGGGCTGTCTCCTCAGGAATAGAGGGAGGGAGGAAGGAGAGAGAGGAAGGGAGGGATGGAAGGAGGGAGCAGGAGGAGAAGTCTAGGAGGAAAGAGGAAGAGGGAAACAGATGTCAGTGAGAAGCAATAGGCCAACTAAGTGGATGGTCATTGAAAGGCAGAAAGGATACAGGCTGGTTTCAGAAGCAGCTTCAGACAGTAGCTGACCAAGCCACGCAGCTGGAAGGTAAGGAACTGTGCCCTTTTGTTATACAGTGGGAATGAAGGGATTGGTTAAGTCTGTAATGCTTGTGGTGGAGATTTTCTTTCAGTTTCTGACCCTGCAGTGTAGCAGGCTAAGTGAAGAAGGCTCAAGCTAGCATAAGCATGATATGTGGCGATTGGGGTTCCTGTGTGTGAGGAAGGGTCTTTGTGTGAATGTGCGTGTGATATCACATGAATGAACGTCCTTGTGAGCTGAGCTCAATAGCATGCTTCTCCACAGCCCAGGGCCTCCTCGGCCGTTAATCATTAATTAATAAACAGGCAGACATTCTGCTCTTTCTTTGGGACAGTTCACATTCACGTGGACTTATATGTGCACACACACACTTAAATGAGCCTTTAAACTCTAAGGACTTGTATATGAGCTCACACTTCCGGAGGACTTCTTAGTCTAAAAACTACATAGTGTGTGCAGGTAATAGTAGTTAATAGATCGTTTCACCAGTTTTTATACGTTTTGTACGATTAAATTGTTAAGATATAAACAAACTCATTCAGGGTGGTTTATTGTGAAAAGCACCATTCTAGACTAACTTGCCAAGTCAGCATTTTTCACAGTGATGGTGATAGGAACCAGACGTCTGAAGCATTAAATGCCTCTAAAAGCTACAGTACTGTTCAAAAGTAAGAAAGTACCCTTCATTTATTACATACTGCTATTAAATACAATGATTATTTATGTTTCTAGAGTGATTTCTGAGAAGTTTTCAAAACTACAGTTCAAAAAATCATTAAAAGATGAAGAGTCACCCTCAAAGAAACAGTACTAACAACTTTCATCTTTGAGAGAATTTTCCACTCTCACTTCAGATATGAAAAAATCCACAGCCATTTCTGTCTATCCTTCCACTGTGAGAAGACAACTCAGCTCTATGGGACTAAAATTATGTGTAGCTGTCAAGAAGCCCTTAATAAGATGAAAAAGACAAAAAAAAGAAGAAATTCTGCAAATCAAACAAAGAAGCTGCTGGTGTTCTCAGAACAATTAACTGACCACCCCAGAGTGCAGACCTCATCATCACTGAATGTGTTTGGGATTGCTTGGATGGTGAGTAGCAGAAAATGCAGCAAGCCTCTGAGACTGAACTGTTGTAAGTGTGGAAAAATTTCCTGCAGATTTCTTTGAAAAACAGACAAGAATAGAAGCTGTATTAAAGGCAACGGGTGGACAAACTAATGTTGAAAATGTTGAAATTACATTTTCATAAGTTTTCTGCTTTCTTCCAATGCTGAATTTGTAATTAGTATCTGTAGTTGTTTTGACTGGAAATTAAATAAATGAAGGGGTTGTCATTTTACATTCTACACTGTACTGTACAGCACACAGAGTTATTGCATGAAATAATTCTGAATAATTTAATAACAATAATAATTCAGTAATTCTCTAGAATAGTTTTTAGATTTTGCCCAGTCATGACAGAGAGGTACAGAGCACTGTAAGGCAAAATAGTCCCCAAAAATTACCATTGTGCCATTATTGACATTACGTATAAAAACATAAAACTCCTGGTTCCTATCACCACCAAGGAACCTGGGTTGATAATTTTCTCTACAACAAACTATTTCATATCAAACCACTCTGAATGACTTGGTTTCCATCTCACCAACTGAATTGCACAAAAACATACTCTTTAAAATAGCCCTCCTAGATTAGGCTAATAACAGAACAAGATGTCTGGAGTTTTAGGGGTTAAAGAAACAGAACAGAAAATTGGACTAAAAAAGAGGCAAACAGAGAGAAAGAGAGTCAGTGTGTCTTGTTTTCTGTAGATTAGTGTGTGTACCACTGATGTCTCCTCTGCGGCAAAATAAATTAAGTGATCTGCTTCCTCATGCGCAGAATATTAACTCACATGCTGCTGCAGAGTAAAGGCAGAAGGTGGCATGTGTGTGGTGCACATAAGACAGTAGGGCTCATAGTCATGAGTTGTGTCACCCTGGTGGAGCGTCACTGATCAGAGGGGTGATAAATCTCTCTGGTTTACCACTTCCTCCCTCTACAGTGCTATTCTTATCTTGATTTTGGGCCAGTCGTCTGTGGTTTTGGAGTGGCACAGTCTCACCCTCATTAGTGCCGGAATCCCACTTACACTTCCTTTGGGGGCGAGCAGCGGCTTTGTTTTGAGTGAGTGTTTACTAGAGCTCTCACTCCTTCCTGTGTGAGCGGCAGGGCTTGGTCTGAAGCTCACAGATCCAGCAAATCACAGAAAAAGTAATATGTCGAAAATATATTAGGGGAGACTCGAGAGGGTTGTAAAACTCTTTGTTTCTGGATCTCCAGCTGAGTGGTTGTTTGTACTGTGCCTATAAAACTTATAAGATGATATACTCATATTTGTTCCTCCTCTACAGCATGCTACCGTGATCATGTGTAACTGTAGGTATGGAAGGCTGTGTATCACGGAAAACATGTCCACATAGTAATGTTTATGAACGTTTGATGTAGTATGCAGTAAACTTTGTTAAAGGGCCCGTCTCATTCTTCTTGTATTTTATTGTATTTTTTCCCCTGAGGTCCACTTCTTTGTAGTTTTATGAACCAAAAACATATTTTTTTTTTTACATGACCATTTTCCAACCTTTTTATCATTTGGAATAAACGAGCTGTGAAACTCTCCCTGGTCTCCCCTAGATACCAATGCTGTTGCAAAAATTCTCATATCTCCAAAATAATTCAAGTATAATTAATCTCCAAAACTTGTCAGGAGAAGGAAAATATATTCTTAACTTCTACTGTAAGTTAACCCCTTAAAATCCCAGGCTTTTTACATACTGAGGCTTATTATTCAGTAACTACAAGGACTCCAATGCAAACTGGTTGAGCTATTCTTAGGTTATGGAAGTGTGTAATAAAACTTCGAGCCCACTGAGTTAGTAAGATGTCAGTTTATAATATCAGGCCATCTCTATTGGTCCATTCTTTTTGAATAGGACCCTGGCTGGTGTTTAAAAATGATGTCAAAAACAAAAATTAGAAAAAAAAGAAAAAGGGTTTTGATCTGACAGCAACCATATATTCTCTTTATATCTTGGAATACATGGCAGCATACAGCAATCATTTTCATAGGCCATGCAGGCCCCACCATGAGCCACAGGCTGGAAAATGGATCTGAATCAATTCTATATGGAATTGATTTTCCATTCTATGCCTGGCAACTGCTGATCCAGGTTGTGCATGGTGTGCTCTAACAGTTAACCTGGACATTTTAGGTAGCGCTCGTAAAGGACCACAGGATAGGCTTACTGGGATGAAAGATCACTTTTCGCATTTTACACCCAAAGCAACACCACTCATACATTCGATATATACAGTATGAGCTCTAATCTCCCTCGAAACTGTGTGGCATTGGGAGGATGTAATTATGGGTAATTATGTGTAATTACTGGCTAGATTTGGGGTGCAGGGTTTTGTGTTTAGACGTTTGATTGATTCCACCCTGCCAGATTCACATTTTTCATGAGTCTCAGGAACAATAGCGTATGGATAGCATCCATTTTTATCTTACACACATTCATCACACATTGTTCAATGAAGTATCTGAGATGGACTTGTATTGCAAAATTTTGGGATTTTTCTTCATTTCAACTTATAATAAAAGTATACAACATGTATAACAAACAACTGGCAGTGTCTAATGTATTATGCTGAGAACATGCAATTGCAAGAATGATATACTTTTGCCTCTATAATATGAATTATAAATAATATAATAATCGTATAAATGCTGTTGATCAGTCAAGACATATTTGGCATTGGGTATAACAGTGGAAATGCCACTGCTCTCCATGGGACTGGGGTTTGCTTTCCTGACTGTGCAAGCACACAATGCTATACTAATATGAGTCCATGGGCAAGACTCCTAATGGTGTATTCGCCTACCTCTATAACATGATTCAATTATTAATCACTCTTGTTATTAGTGTATGCCATAAATGTAGGTGTTTAGTAATCAAAAAATACTTCTTTAGCTTTGTGCTTAACTATGAGGCTAATGTAGCTAACAAGAAAAGCTTGTTATCTCACTAGGAAGTACTGTGGAAACTACAGGCCTAATTCATCACTACACTTGCCTTAACACAGTTTTTGGCCAAGACTTTTTGTACATTTGTGTTTTTTTTTGACAGGCAGTTGTACTGCAAATGTGTTGCCAATGTAAACATATCCAGCATTCATTTTTCAGCCCTGTAAACCACAGCAGGCATGTGGGCTCATACTTTCGTAATAGTGGCCCAACTGGTTTTATAATAGTTACTGAACAACAAGTCTAAATATTAATAACTGAGGGATTCAGCTTGGTGTGCAGTGGTGGATGCAGTATGCTCTGATCCCCTCGCGTTCTCTGTTCCCCTCGTGTAACCTCCTCCTCCTTATTTGTGTCCTGCAGATGTCATGGCGCCCGACCTACCGAAGCTCCAAGTTTCGAAACGTTTATGGCAAAGTGGCCAACCGGGAGCACTGCTTCGAAGGCATCCCCATCACAAAGAACGTCCATGACAACCACTTCTGTGCTGTCAACAGCAAGTTCCTCGCTATAGTAACTGAGAGCGCCGGAGGAGGGTCCTTCATCGTTATCCCGGTCACTCAGGTAACCGCAGCGACCGCCCTGTGGCGTGCCAATACTGGGCCAGCATTAGCATTCTCTCTGGCCGTTTGTCTTGTGGCCATGGGCGAGTGAAAAAGTTGCACAATGGGGGGAATTAAACTGCAAACAGAGAGCTACAGTGAATTTACACACACAAAGACCTACAAGACGGGAAGTTTTGTAGTTTAGTGTCAGTTATATTGGATGTTGAACACAACTCACCAAGTAACAGCCAAGCATCCGTAACACTGAAACAAATGAGTAGGCAGCTGCATGCACACTGGGTCAGGTGTTCTATGGGTCAGTATTTTGGAACAGAAATGGTCTCCTGTGTCCATGGCTGCCACGTTCCATTGTACAGCCTGCATTTCAGATCTTATACAAACAAGCAGAAACTGTAGAGTAACTTCTACAAAAATACTCAAATTTAACATCTTTGGAACTCAAAAGAAGTCATTATTATTATTATTATTATTATTATTATTATTATTATTATTTTGTTATATTATTCAAATGTAATTCCGTTATTACATATTGAATTACATAGTAAGTAATGCAGTGAATTGCATTTATATTCGCTTCCACATTTTTATATTTGTTTTACTGTCAAGAATGACAAAAATGTGGGGAAAATGTAAATGATTTTTCAAACAGTAAAGGGTTTTCATTCTGCAAAACATGCTTGCACAATAATAACTTGCATTAAATTCAAATAATGCTAAACAACAATAATTCTTCAGTATAGGGGAACATTATAAAGCTCTTGTAATGCCTTTATTATGTCTTCTTAAGCCAGTAGCTGGCAGTTAATAGGCTGCTCACTACTACTTTATTAAGCAATAATTACCATTTTTTCAAGAGCTTCATTATTTATATTTTATTAAACATGCACAACCCTTATCTGAGCATTGGTTCTGTAAGGAATGTGATTATTAATGAACTCTGAAATGAAATACCTGATCAATCACATCACGTCCCATCACAGTTGTTTTGTTTTTGTTTTTTTGTTTTTTTTTCTTTTCACTGGACTAGTTGATTTTCCTTGTGATTTTAATCAAAGTTTGCCCTCCTTTGCTGCAGTAACAGTCTCTACTTTTCTGGAAAAGCTTTACACTAGATGTTGGAACTTTTCAGTGAGGATTTGATTGCAGCTACAAGAGCATTAGTGAGGTCAGGTACTGATGGATGATTACATCACACATGCCAATCCAGTTCATTCCAAAGGTATTGGATGGTGCTTCATCACTAGACAAGGCAGTTCCACTTTACAGTTTAAGTTTAGAAATTCCAACAGAATTTCTCCGCTCATTTCAATGAGCTACGAACAACAAACAATTCATGTAGAATATTAGTAGAGTGATGTGGCACCAGTTTCACACTCATGTCTCAGAGCTCCACTCTGATTATGCTGGGCTCATCCAGCTCTGGAGCTTAAGCCCCCCTGGGTTCAAAGCTCTGGATCTGGGGCAGAGGCCAAAGCAAATTCACCAAATGAGCTTTGATGCCATCATATTGTCTCATAGTACATCTGAAATTAACATTCAGTTCACTAAAGCTGTAGCTAATTCCACAAACTGCACATAGAACTCCCGACTAAATGCCCTGTGCATGTTAGGCACACAGCTAAAAGAAGCACAGTGAAATCGGTGGAGCCCTCAAGAAGCTTGAGACAAAAGAGAAAATGTAAGCTCAGCGACACAAAGAGTGGTGAATCAATAAAGTCCTTTCCCAATAAAGACATTTTACAGGAGTGTAATTCTACTCCGGCTCAAAAAATAGAACTTGGGAAACAATAACAGGGATTGCAAGAACATGTTGTAGCCACATCAAGGCAAATTTTGTACTGAGCATTCTCACATTCATATAACTGGCCTGGAGTTGAAATAGTGTCATTCTGTTGATAAATATTTTTTTCAGGACATGTTCAAGGCTTGTGTTCCCATATAGCTGCTATGGCTACTGACATTTTTAGGTAAGTTTCCCAAAAACGATGGCTTTGAGGCACTACCGCAAATTTTCGCCTGGTTTTAAGATGCAGAGAATATTCACATTAGCTGCCGCTAGTTGCTTAAACTATCATAAATTGAACAAAATATGTAATCAACCACTCTTTCTAATAACTTCGCCCATTATATGCACAAATTGCACACCTGTTAGCCACCCCGCCCCTCCCCTCTTAAATACATTTGAAAGAGGAAGAGAGTACATTCTGGGCCAGGTGTACATATGAGAACAGGCACAGCGCAAATGTACCTTGAGGCAACCACAACATGCCTACAAATTGCCTGAATTTAACATTCAGTTTACCAAGACTGCAGCTTATTATGCAAACTATGCCTAGCCTCATCCACTAACTGTTTGCTCATTAGGCACATGGTTTAGAAGGCACAGTGAAATAGCCGTCAACAAGCTAATGATAAAACAGAAAATGAAAGTGCTGATGAGGTAGATATGTTAAAGAATTCAATTTTTTCCTTACCAAAACATTTTATAGGAATTATAGTTCTACTCTGGCTAAGAAAGTAGAGTTTGGGAAATGACTGCACTCATATTGCGGCTGCGTCATGGCAAGGATGGGCCGATCCACAACTGCCGATACGGATTCTAATACAATCTCTTTTTTACTTTATTATCATTATTGTTGTTGGTGTTGTGTTTAAAGTTGTATTTAAAGTGTTTGATCTTCAAATCACTAAGCATATCTGTAATGGAAGCTGCAACTGAACTGCTGGTGTGTGACCCCCTGCACTTTTTCACCTGACGCACCACACTCTGTAGTGCATATGTTTCTGAGTTCCTGGGCTCTAAGTGCTCCAACAGGCTGCAAATTCTGACTTTTTCCATTACAGATTGCAGTTGGTCATCACGTATGATGAAGTTGAGCAACTTCTCTGAGATACTGTTAGCCTTTGAGTTGTGTGCTGGAAGTTTATTGCATTTCTGGAAAGCATCAGCAAGAGTCGCTGCCTAGTAGCGCCTTCTTGTCTGTTGGCTAACCTGAACTCCTGGTACTCATTCATGTGAAACCTCTGCAGGTGCTGGATTACATATACCTCTCGCCACGCTGGCTTTACACACATTACAAGTAGCTGTCTTGCTTTTTGGTGTTTCAGACTAAAATATTTCCAAACAAATGACATTTTGGTCAAACCAGCAGTTAATGTTAATTTGCTCACTCACTTAACAGACTGAAGTTGCTACGGGTTCGTGCTGAGATGTGGAGTGGAATATGGAATGGTGATGTGTCTGTTACGTTATATATACGTCTGTTATATATATATATATATATATGGCCTAAAGAGTTTATACAGTTTTCTTCTGATGGCAAATATTTTTTTCAGCACATGTTCGAGGCTACAGCCCCCATCTAACTGCCGTATCTGCTGCCACCATTTGAGACCCAATTGCAGATTTATGCAGTTTTAAAAACCAATGCAAAAGCATCAGGTAAATTAATCAGAATATGTAATCAGCTCCATGTGTAATATCTTCACCCACACTCCTTCCACATTTTGTGCTGTCCTCCCTCAAATTCATATACATGAAGAAAAGAAGCCAGTTTTGTGTTTTTCCATGCATACCGCCCATAAACTGCACGTTTAGCCTGGTGAGTCAGTTTTGTACACAAAATGTGTGTTTTTTATATTTCATGGAGCATAAATTGCATGCTTAGGCTCATATGTAATGCGTAAACAGAATGTTGTGATTGGGACAAAATAGGAGCACTAAAAAAAGCTTTTTTGTGTCTTGAAGGCACCACTCATGATAAAATGTACCACAACATTCGCTTTTGTTTGGTCTTATACTGTCTTGTCTGTGTGTTTGTATAGTCTTGTCTGTCTTCTGCAGTGCAAGGTGCACAGGATTGGTTCTGTTGCCTCTACAATGTCTCTTGGGAAGATTGAAAGTTTTGTGTAATTATATTAAGACGAGATTGGAAAATAAGAAATAGAAGAAAAAAGAAGAGAAGAAAGTAATTTTGTTTCTATAATGGATCATGGGGTAGTCGTAATAAAATTGAAATAAAAAGAACTTTCTGTTTTTGTCCCAAACTTGCATGCCAGTGTGATCATATATGCTCGAGTAGTAGCCTGTAGACTGCTCATTCAAATCCACATCTACAAAAGGAGACAAAGGTCAATGACAGCTGCTGGTCATTTATACGCGACAGCATGATATCTGTCTTTCCTCTTCAACCATCTCCCTGTCTTTTCTCCTCACCACTGTATCCGGTCACACTCCACTGCCCAGTGGGCTCACAGAGCCCCGGTCATGCTCTCAAGCCAACACAGAGCAGCTATCAATGACCCTTTTATGATGAGTGCTCAAAGTCAAATAGCTGATGTGTGGTGCAGCAGGATGGCTCTTCCAAGCCTTTGTCCCCTCAATGAGCTCATTCTGCAGGGCATCTGTCCCCAGCTCAGTTCTCAGGCCTTCAGCCGGACGATGGCATGGGGAGTGAAACACTGCCCCCAGCGCCTCTGTTTTCCGCTTATAGTTTTCTGTTCTCCACAGGAGGTGAGAGCGATCTTTCGCTTTGTGCTTTATCCAGCCCCGGTCTCTTTCTCCTTTTATCTGCCTCTCTCGCTCCATGTGTTTCAGGCTTTCTTCCTGTCTCTCTCTTTCTCTCTCTCTCTCTCTCTCTCTCTGAGATGCTGCAGGCACTCTGCAGGCTTTACACAGTCTGAATACTGAGCAGAGCGTGATAGATTTTTTTTTGACTAAGTGATCTGTCCAGGGCCAGAGACAAAAGATTTTACTGCAGTTTTGTGGTGACACTGTAACCAAGCTGCTTCTATCTTCATTCATGGAGTTGCACTGCGAGGACATATTGTGCTGAAATATGTATTTGACCTTTTGCTGCATGCAAAACTAGCAGCATGATTACTGATCAGCCATGGACTTTTGTGGATTAGTATTTGTGTAATTGACCTATTCATGCTCTGCTCACAAATATTGCAAGGTTGAAGGTAAAAATCTCATTCAGTGTAAAGGATTTAAGC